GGTCCTAGGACACTCACTCTAAGATTTAGGGTCGAAAATTACAGAAGAAATGAAGAGAAAACAGATAGTATGCTCTCGGACACATCAAGAGAAGCTCGGACACACCAAGCAATGTAAACCTCGGACAAACCAAGAGAATTCAAGAAAATACTTAGATTTTTGATTCAAAGATGATTCCCAAGCTTACAATTTCGTGCTCTAATATAGGAGACACAGAGGGGGAGATATGGATCAAGGACTTCTGATGACAAGTGAAGTACACCGAGCAACGGGAAATTCATTATCAATCATGACAAGTCTGAGATGAAATTTGAAGAAGAGGAAGAGGAAGAGTTGCCAAATTTATGTGCATTCATTGGGATCATAGATGAAGAATCTGACAATGAAAAGGTAGATGTGAACGAACTCTACAATGAGACAATGAAGATCTATGAGATTAACATGAGACTGGTCAAGGAGAAGAAGGAATTGGAGTTGCAACTAAAAGAAGCAAAGACCGAAATAGTGCTAAAAGAAGAGGAGATCACTCACTTGAAACGACAACTAGAAGAAACAAAGAAGAATGTACGAATGCTTGGAAGTGGAATAGAGAAGTTGGACTTTCTGCTCGGCGTGGGCAGACATGATCCTGGACATACAGGACTTGGATACGTGGGCGAGCAAAGCAAGAACCAAGGTAAGTTTGTGTCAGGAGGAATAGTGGGCGAAGAAGTACCTGACAAAATCCGAAGGGACCCTCACTCTAAACCTGACTTCCATACGAGGCACTACAAACCTAACTTTCAGTCAAGGAAAACATACCAAGAGAGACAAAATTGTTTTTTCTATGGTAAAAAGGGTCATATTCGAGCTCATTACCATCATCTAAAAGCCACTCGGGATAGAGGTAAGTATAATCACTATCCTTTTACTATGAAACAGATTTGGGTAAGGAAGGATGCTCTTAACTGTAATATGGCATTGACCTCTGAGCAAAGTAACCATGATAACATATGGTACCTTGATAGTGGTTGTTCAAGGCATATGACAGGAAAGAAGGAATTGCTGTCAAATTTTGTCAGTGATAAGAAAGGAGACGACGTGACATTTGGTGATGGAAAGAAGGAAAAGATGGTAGGAAAAGGTTGTCTCAGTATTGAAGCAATGCCAAATCTCACTAACGTGACTGTTGTGTAGGGACTTAAGGCAAATTTGGTTAGCATTAGTCAACTTTGTGACAATGGCATGAAGGTAAGATTCACTCATGATGCGTGCTATGTGACTAATTAAAAAGATAAGTGTGTGTTGACAGGTAAATGAACAACAAACAACTGTTATGCTTGGACAGGAAAGAACAAGAATCAGCCAAAGTGCTTCAAAGTATCCACTACTGACAAGTCAGGGGCTGTTCACAGAATGACAAAGCTCATTCACGAAGAGAAAATTGTACCCTAGTCATGTCGATAAACTCGAGTTCAACACAGGAGGATAAATGAAATACAAACCGAGAGCACCAGTGGAAAGAGGTATGAATTCGTATGTGTTGATGGTTTATTCAATTGGACGAATTGTTTTAGGGAACAAGTTGAAAAGAAACACCTCGTGATTGAGTATGTTCCCACAGAACATCAACTGGCTTATCTCTTTACAAAACCACTTGATATGAACAGATTCATATGTTTGCAGAAATCTGTAGGTGATGGGGAACAATAAAAAAAAAATTTCAGAGTACTGGAGTTAGGGTTCCCTTAGTCTTTGGTAGGTACCACTCACTAGGACGAATAAGAAAAGTTGCAGTTAATTGATACTCCACTATCAACTAATTTGGTTGATATGAGTGGATTATGTTTACAGTGACTCGGATCTAAGTTGTGAATTGAGATAGTTAAACGATGGTCTAAGGACAGAAAAGGTTAAAGATCTTTTCATACTCCTCTGTAAGAATTATATTTTACAAGAGTATACCATGTTTTCCATATAATTGTCTCCCGATAAGTTCTTCAAATTTTTTTAAAAAAGGAAAAGAAAAAAGAAAAACACTCAGGGGGAGGAAGAAAAAAAAAAGAGAAAAAGGGAAAAACGAATAGCCTGGACTTAAATGGTAAGCTATTCTCTTTGATTTCAACGTCCTAAAAGTTCAAATAATTGCTCAATATTTCTGTTCTGAATAGATGACTGCTCCTTCATAGATTGTCAGAAGACCCTGACAGGTGACTCTTGAAAAATCTGGTTTATTTTTTTTTTAAAAAAGGGGTTTTATTATTTTTGTAAAAATGTGATCAGTTTATCTTGAGTTGGTTAAGCAAAGTCGGATAAGCTATGTGGGTGAATATGGGAGCTGAAAAATCTGAAGTGTATCTTGCAAGTTACTCCCTTGAAAACGGTGCTACATTTTTCTGTTTTCGCCTATTCTGTTTGATTTTGTCTCTCTCTTGAAACTAACCTATAGAAAAGGAAACTCGACATTTTGTGTTTTTACTCACACACAAAAGGGGAGAAGATATTGAAGATGGCCCTTCACAATGCGTCAGGTGATCCTGAGTAGTTTAACGTATGATTTGATTGCTTGAACTCGGGTAAGTGTGTGATATGAAACTTGCTCTAGAATGTTTTGAATTTCAACTCATACACAGAGGGGGAGATATGGATCAAGGACTTCTGATGACAAGTGAAGTACACCGAGCAACGGACAGAGTTTATTTTCTAACGTTTGTTTGTGTATGAGTAGAAAGTCAAAAAGGGGGAGATTGTTAAGGTTGAAGTGGCTAGTGTTTGTGTTTAACTAAAAGTGCAGAAAAGATTTGATTTGTGTTGAAGATTCCAGAAGATTATTGAGATAAAATCAAATTATGAAGAGATAAAATCAAATCAGGAAGTTGAAGTTGAGTCAAATTCCTTGGAGATAAAAGATTTGGGAAGAGATAAATACAAAAGAGATATGGATATATATGAAGAGGATCTACGCAAAGATTAAATTAAATCTCAAAAGATCAGATCTGAAGCACGTCTGGACATCTATAAAAGGAAGAGTCTGGAGCATAAAGAAGATACGTACAAAGATAGAGAACTTGAGAGAGTTTATTATTTTCTAAGAGAGTTTTTGTTCTAGTGAGTGATACTTGAGAGAAAGTGAGTTGCAACTGAGGGGGAGCCCCAAAATCATAATTGTGGTGAACCTTTCAGGGGAGTGTGGAAACACTTGGGATGCGTTTTTCTGATAGAATTCACGTTGTAAAAGGGGAACAAACTCAGGGAGAGCTGTGTTCGTGGGTTGGATTAAGCCCGAACGAAAAAGAGTTGTAATTCACGATCTTTACAAGCGAATAGAATCAGTGGATTGTTGAAGAGTGCGTATTCGTTAACTTTTTCACCAACGTTTAGCTATAGATTAATTGATGATTTGATTAGTGATATTATGTTGTTTCCTTTGCTGAAGATTCTTAGACGATTGGTAGTCAATACAACCAACTTTCCTTGTATGTTGTTTCTTGGAATTCGACTTATATATGGTAAGTCTTGACTTCATTTATTGTTCTTCTTTTGGTCATGCATTGATTCTTCACATGTCTAAGTTATGCTCACTCTCGTCCAAGGTTTCTATCTCGTTTTTTCTTTCTCCTTCTTCTTGCTCAGCCTCTTTCTCATCTTCTCTTTGAGTTTTTCATTATCAAGGGTATCAAAATGTTCATAAAATTATGTTTCTTCATCGGGTTCTCCTTCGGAATTCCAGCCATCGAAATCAAAGAAAAAAACTATACTCTCTCTCCCTTACATAGGTTTCCATATCACAGCCGTAGGAGGACATTTTATGGTATTTTAACCCTTGAATTTGCGAATTTGCGAAGGAAAACAAAAAAAAATCATTCACAAACATTTTAGCCTTGCAATAGACACCATATAGAAAACTATCGTGTTTGTGATTAGTTTAGGACAAAGAACGGATTTAGACAAAATAATGAGCTAAGACCGAGAGCTTAAATGATATAGACAAGACAAAGTATTTTGATCAAGAAGAAATGTGAATGAGAAGAAGAACTCGTACTCTAAGTGTAGGAGAGCCGAGAGAAATAATGAGAGATGAATATATGAAAGAATAATATTATTTTTTGATGATCTATTACTAAATATATGGCTTTGATATTTATTTATTTATTTATTTTTTTTGTTAAAGGTAAATTGCATTAATGAAAAACTTTAATGTACAAGAGAGTGGTTGTTGATTACAGAGTGCAAGACATAAATGAGCAGCTCAGTAGGATTACAAGACGTTTTCGAAGTGTGTAAACCAAAGAGTAACCAGGCTTTCAGAGGGGCTTGCTAAGGCTAGGGACTGCACATACTCCTCGGAGGTCTGGCCCTCTTCCGTCGGCGAGGCCCGATCACTGTTCCACGACAACATAACACTCCTGGAGCATACCCATAAGCTGATCAACTATGCAGGTTCTTTTCCCATTAAACTCATGCTTCTACTCC